TGCTATTGGGAGTCAATGATCCCTTTGAAGATCAAGTGAAAAAAGACACACACACACCCCAAAAATGCAGGAGTGTGGAAAATTCTAGATTTGCTTTTGGGGGACTCGACTCCTTGTGAACACACAGACTAGAGGTAAAATGTCCTGCCTTAGGCTAAACCAAACAAAGCTATAAGTCATGGAGTTGATTCCAACCCATGGTGACCCCAAGTATTTCAGATTTGAACTCTGCTCCCAGGGTTTTCACAGCCGTGACCACTCAGAAGACATCTTCTGAGACATCTCTCCACAGATTCAAGCAGTCAATGTACAGTTAGTGGCCCGGCACTTAACCATTTGTAATACTCAGAGTCTCTCTTGCCTGAAACCTAGAACTTAGACTTAAAATCCACCACACTTATATGTCGCTTTGTTGTACTGTGGTGGCTTGCGTGTTGCTGTGATGCCGGAGGCTATGCCACTGGTATTTCAAATGCCAGCAGTGGACAGGTTTCAGTGGCGCTTCCAGACTACGACAGACTAGGAAGAAGGGGAGAGAGATTACTCCTGAATGTTTAGCCATTAATAACTTTATGAATAGCAGTAGAAGCCTGTCAGATATTGTGCCGGATGATGAGCCCCTCAGGTTGGAAGGCACTTATATTACGACAGGGAAGAGTTGCCTCCTAAAAGTAGAGTTGACCGTGGTGGTGTGAATGGAGTAAACCTTTCTAGACCTTCATTTGCTGATGGAGCACAACTTAAAATGAGGAGAAGCAGCTGCAAACATCCATTAATAATCGGTACATGGAATGTATAAAGTATGAATCTAGGATAACTGGAAGCTATCAAAAATGGAATGGAACACATAAAGATCGATATGCTACATGTTAGTACGTTGAAATGGAATTGTACTGCCATTTTGAATCAATCATATGGTTTACTATGCTGGGACCAATAAATTCAAGAGCAACGGCATTGCATTCATTGTCAGAAAGAGCATTTCAAGATCTGTCATGAAGTATAACGCTGTCTGTGATAGAATAATATCCATATGCCTAAAAGGAAGACCCAGGACCGGGCTGTGTTTCATTCTGTTGTGCATAGGATCACTATGAGTCCCAACTCGATGGTACCTAACAACAACATCATCAAGAACATTATACAGGAAGAAAGCAAAAGGTCATTAAAAAAAAAGACAGAGAAGGAATAAAAGACCAAAATGGATGTCAGAAGAGACTCTGAAACTTGCTCTTGAGCATAGAGATGCTAAAGCAAGTAAAAGAAATGATGACACAAATGAGCTGAACAGAAGATTTCAAAGGGCATCTCGAGAAGATAAAAGCTTTATAGTAAAATGTACAAGGGTCTGGAATTAGAAAACAAAAAGGAAAGAACACGTTCAGCTGAAACGTGTTCAAGTGAAAGACATAAGAAAAAATGCAAACCTCGACTTGGAATACTGAAAGATGAGACTTTCTGCTCCCGCAAAGATTTAACAGCCTTGAAAACCCTGTACAGGTCACTGTGAGTGGAACCAACTTGGCAGCACTCAACAACAGATGGGCAAAAAAATTGATTAATACAGAAAACATCTTTAAAAAATGGAGGTACAGAATCACTGTACCATAAAGAAATGGTCGATGTTGAACCATTTCAAGAGGTAGCATATGATCAAGAGCCAATAGAATTGGAGCAAGAAGTCCAAGGTGCACTGAAGGCAAGAGCAAAGAACAAGGTCCCAGGAACTGATGGATTACAAATTGAAATCTTTCAACAAAGTGACACAGTACTGGAAATACTCACTCCTCTATGTTAAGAAATTTGGAGGAAAAAAAAAAAAAAAGAAATTTGGAGGATAGCTACCTAGCCAACTAATTGGAAGACATGTATGTTTGTGCCCGATCTATTGTGACCCTATGGAATGTGGAAATCATTAGACAATATCATTAATATTACCTGCAAGTAAAATTTTGTTGAAAATAATTCAACAGTTACAACAGGGAATGGCCAAAAACTGAAGCTGGATTCAGAAGAGGGTGTGGTTCTAGAGATATCATTGCTGACATCATATGGATTTTGGCTGAAAGCAGAGAATACCTGAAGGATGTTTACTTGTGTTTTATCGACTATGCAAAGGCTTGTGACTGTGTGAATCATGACAATCTATGGATAACATTGTGGAGAATGAATACTCCAGAACATTTCATTGTGCTAATGAGGAACCTGCACATAGGCCAAGAAGCAGTTGTTTGAACAGAACAAGGGAACACTAAATGGTTTAAAATGAGGAAAGGTGTACCTCATGGCTGTATTCTTTGACAATACTTATTTAATTTCTATGCTGCGCAAATCATTTGAGAAGTTGGATTATATGAAGAAGAAGAAAGTGGCATGAGGTTTGGAGGAAGGCTCATTAACAAACTGCGATATGCAGATGATACAAACTTGCTTGCTGAAAAGGGAGAGGACTTAAAATACTAACTGATGAAGATCAAAAACCACAGCTTTCAGTATGACTTGCACCTCAATGCAAAGAAAACGAAAATCCTTACAAGTGGACCAGTAAATAGCATCATGATAAATGGAGAAAAGATTGAAATTGTCAAAGACTTCATTACGCTTGGATCCACAATCAACACTCATGGAAGCAACTGTCAAGAAATCAAACAACGTATTGCACTGGGCAAATCTGCTGCACATGACCTCTTTAAAGTGATCAAGGGTAAAGATGTCAGTTTGAGGGCCAAGGTGTGTCTGACCCAAGTCATGGTATTTCCAATAGCCTCATATGCATGTGAAAGCTGGAAAATGACTAAGGAAGACTCAAGTAGGCCGTCTGAAGACTGGGGCAGAAGAATTGATACATTTAAGTTATGGTGTTGGAGAAGAATATTAAAAGTATCATGGACTGCCAGAAGAATAAACAAATCTGTATTTGGGAGAATTACAGCCAGAATGTTCTGTAGAAGCTAGGATGGTGAGACTTCGTCTCTCATGTTATCAAGTGGGACCAGTCCCTGGAAAAGAGCATCATGGTTGGTAAAGTGGAAAGTCAGTGAAAAAGAAGATCCCTTCCCCCCGACCGACCCCAACAAGATGGATTGAAATGGTAGCAGCAGCAATGGGCTCAAATACAACAATTGTGAGGTTGGCACAGGACCAGGCAGTGTTTCGTTCTGTTGTGCATAGGGTCACTGTAAGTCAGGACTGATCCAACGGCACCTAATAACAGCAACAAAGGTTTCAAATGTCAAAAAGGCGACCTAAAATTACATGGCACCAAACAAGCAAAAACACTCAAAAGGCATCTCAATTCTAAGCGGAATGGTTCTTAGCTAGATCAGGCAGAGCTAAGACTTGAAGTCCAACAGAATACGGAATCTGCTATTCTTTGACACCATCTGGGGGTAAACCTCAGTTTTCCCCATCTGTGAAATGGAACTCAAAGAGTAAGGTGAGTCCTATTTATAAGATGCTGACCCTCAGTAAAAGCTTAGTAAATGCTCACTGTTGTCGCTCATTATTATTACTCTTGTGGTTGGGCACCCAAGAAAAGAGTTCAAGAACAATTGTTCTATAGTGCCCTCAGAGGACTGCTCTGAATGTGGGAAAAAGGCTCCAAGGAGGGTCCTATCTGGACCTGGGAGATAAGTGTGGTGGGAGATTGCTGTAACCCCCTTACCGTAAGCCCCCGGAAAGCCTTCTTCTCTGTGATCCGAAACAGCCCTTCTGACGTCATGATTTTAATGTGCTTGACCTCGATGTTAAACCTAAAACCAGAAAGAGAGGGCCAGGTGGTCACGGGGTTTTGAGTCTGAGGTCCTGGGCCCATCCCTTCCCAAGTCTCAATCCCAGGCCACACCTACAGTCTTAGAGAAAACTATCTAGACTCCTACAGGGAACCCAAGGTCTGCAGATCCACACCTACTATCACATCTTCATTTCATCTTCTGTATCCCTGACTCACAGAGTTGTTAAGAAGTCAGTTTTCTAAAGAAAACATTGTTCTACAACAGACAAGAAGAGATCTTCACATCCACCAGTATGGTAGACCAGAGACTAGACCCTAAGAGGAATCATCGCCTCCCACCAATACTATGGACTAAAGGATCAAAACTATACCCTTCTGCTACAAAACCCCTAGAAAGGCTGGGCTTTCAAAAAAAGTAAGGGAAATCCCCATAGGCCAAAAAAACCCAAAAACCTTGAAGATGAAACTTTAAAAAAAACAAGCAGCCAACATCAACTGATGTGCGGACAGACCTTAAGGGGTTTGCTGATCTTGGTAACCAAGGAGATTTTGCCTTGATGGCCACATGGAAAGCATGAGATGAGTTTCCAGGGCTATAGATGATACAGAGTTACCACTAAAAACCTGCCCACACCCTGTAGAAATGTATTCTTAAAGAACCACACACCTTCAGGAAAAGAGATGAGCTAGAAATAGTCAACCCACCAACACACAGGGGATCATCAGAAAATGTGTCTGTCTCAAAACCAAAATGGAGGAAATCACTCTTGAGAATCCATAACATCAGACCTGTGCTGAGGCGGGCTGTGGTTTGAATTTAAACCACTTGTATAGTCCAAAAAGCCATGAAAATAATCTAAAAAAAATAGACTGGGTAATCTCAACAAAAACAAATGCAAGACCACTCTGGAGACACAGGTAGCATAAGATTCCCATAGGTAAAGACTCCCATTTTAGATCACAACACAAAATTGAAAAACCCCACAAGGAAATGATTTGCCAGGAGTGAGAACCCTCACACTGTAAACAGAGCCAGGGTCTGCGAGATTTAGGTTTCAATTGTTTCTACCCTTGCTAAGGGATGCCACTAGCCTCTGTAGGAATTAAGACTCTTTCTCTTGGATTCGTTGGGCTAATTAAAAGAAATAATGAAGGTAAAAGTACCCACAACCCAGAAGAACTGAACCAATGGTGACTGTCATTATAGTAAAATGCTTATAAAGGAGAAACTGGATGCTTCAGCTTCTCTGCTTCCCAGGCACCTCCAAGACCCAAGTCATAAGGGGAGGTAGTCAGGGAAGGAGAAGTTACTTAATGCTGATGGCAAATTCTGCGGCGTCCTTCACCCTCTGTCGCACCAAGAAGGTCCCATCCGAACGGTTAGTGAGGATGCTCTCAGCCTCGGCACGCTCCATGGGCCCAGCATACCTGCCAGGATACACCAAGAAGAGACATTGGCACAATCCTTACCCCTTGTTGTTCATGTTAAGTGTCATAGAGTCAGTTCTGACCCATAGCGGCCCTGTATAGGGCTTCCAAGGGGCAGCTGGAATCACAAACCTTGCAATTCAAACTGACTGTGGACCAGTGCTTATCCTACAGCGCCACATCAGGACCCCAGATTTGGGTTTGGGGTGTTTTTTTTAAATCATTTTGTTGCTGTTATTGGTGTAGGGAATATACATAACAGAACATAAGCCAATTTAACAAGGAGCTCTGGTAGCGTAGTAGTTATGAATCTGCGTGCTAACCTTAAGGTTCGTGGTTCAAAACTGCCAGACATTTCGTGGGAGAAAGATTGAGACTTTCTGCTCCCATAAAGATTTACAGCCTCAGAAACCCTGTACAGGGTTGCTATGAGTCAGAACCAACTCCACAGCACATAACCACCAACAACAACAGGGAAACTTTCATGATGCTGATTACATTTTTCAAGTGTGAAACCATTCTAACCTTTTTCCTCAGTTGTTTCTCCCCCATTAACACAAACTCACTGCCCCTTAAAGTTCCTATCTGATCTTTTGAGATGCTATTGTCTGTTTGATCCCATATGTGGGTCTTCTTGTTGTTAAGTGCAGTCGAGTTATTTCCAACTCATTAATCTTAAATGAGCAGAATGTTCAAAATAGATATTCTTCACTAGTTAAAGTATTTGTTAGGTTTTAAGAAGACTTCATCCTTGGGAGCACAGTGGCTCTGTAGGATAATCACTAGACTGGGACCCACAAGGTTGTTGGTTCAAGCCCCCCAGCTACTCTGAGAAAGAAAGATGAGGCTTTCTGCTCCTGCCAAGATTTTGGAGTCCTGGTTTGGAGCTATAGGATCAGCACTTCAAGGTCAGCAGTTCAAACCCACTAGCTGTTCCTTGAAGTCCCAATATAGGGTTGCTATGAGTAAAAACTGACTCAATAGCACTTAACAAGAAAACTCCAGGAGAAATTTTTGGCTTAAGGTTTAAAGATGATCTCAGGGCAATAGTTTCAGGGGTTCATACAGCTTCTGTAACTTCAGAAAGTCTGTGTTAGGTGAGAATTTGAAATTCTGCTCTGTGTTTTCCCCCCTTTTGATCAGGAGACCTCTATAGTCTCAGGCATTTTTTTTTAAGTTGGGGCCCAGGATTCCCTAGACAACAAAACAAACCCTATGGAAGCAGTGACCTGTATTGAGAAGTAGGCAGTGTGTGATGGTTCATGTTATGTGTCATCTGGGCTAGACTATAATTCTCAGTGATTTGGCAGGCACTAGACTAGTTGTGCTTCCATAATGTAATATAGAACCACGTTCCAAGATGAGGTCTGATGTGAGCAGCCAGTTAAAGGAAAGTTTCCTGGTGGTGGGAGTGGAATCTGCTTCCTTTTCTGGCTAAGGTTACTCTCTCCATCCTGCGCTCTTCTCATCACCTGAACAACACTTTCAGGGTTGTAAACCTACAGAAACATGTGGCCTAAGAACTGACCTGTGTTACTTGTAGTCCCCAACCCCACAGCTCCGTGAGCCAGTACAGGTCTCCAGTCTTTCACCTCACCCACAAATTTGGGTCTCACCAACCCCCACAATTGTGTGAGCATTTTTCTAGAGAAAATCTCTCTATACGTACTTATACGTACGTCTCACTGGTTTTGTTCCTCTAGGGAACTCAGAGTAAGACACAGTGACCGTCAGACTTCTGAAAACCACACCCAAGATTTGACGCACATATTGTAGGGGAGCGTTGAGTTTTTCAGCTTTCTGGAATTTGGCCATGGTTTCAATGAGCATGTACTGAGTGACTACTGTATCCCCGTCTCTGTAGTCACCAGAATAATACTTTCTTGTTGTTGTTGTTGTTGGTAGGTGCCATTGAGTTGATACCAACTCATAGCAACCCTTTGCACAGCAGAACAAAACACTGCCCGATCCTGAGCCAACCTCACTACTGTTGCCACGCTTGAGCCCGTTGATGCTGCCATTTGGCCAATCCATCTCTCTGGGGGTCTTCCTCTTTTTCTCTGACCCTCCACTTTACTAGGGCAAGGAAAATGACACTCAACTTAGACACAAGATCTAAGAAGGAACCCCCAAAAAAAGCCTCAGCAACCAAGAAAATTAGTATTCTTCAAATGGTTTCTTAATGTGCGAATGCACATGAGAAAATACACCAATCTTAACAGTCCAGTGACAATGAACACATTTTCTCAGCTGTCTACCTATTCTCATGAATATTTTCAAAATTATTCTCCTTCCATTAACATACACTTAATGTTCCGTAGCAAAGATGTCAGCTTGAGGACTAAGGTGCACCTGACCCAAGCCATGGTATTTTCAATAACCTCATATGCATGCGAAAGCTGAACAGTGAATAAGGAAGACAGTGAATAAGGAATAAGAATTGATGCTTCTTAGTTATGGTGTTGGAGGAGAATATTGAAAATGCCATGGGCTGCCCATAGAACCAACAGATCTATGTTGGAAGAAGTGCAGCCAGAATGCTCCTTGGAGGCCAAGATAGCCAAACTTCATCTCTCATGCTTCGGACATACTGTCAGGAGGAACCAGTTGCTGGAGAAGGATATCATGTTTGGTAAGGTGGAAGGTCAGAGAAAAAGAAGAAGACCCCCAGCAAGATGGATTGGCAAAGGGACAGCATCAACGGGCTCCAGCGTGGCAACAATTGTGAGATTGGCTCAGGACCAGGCAATGTTTTGTTCTGTTGTACATAGGGTCGCTATGAGTCTGTACTGACTCGATGGCACCTAACAACAACAATGTTCCCTAAGAAAGAACTTCTCCTGCCCCCTCCTTCCCACCTCTGGTAACCACTAATAATCTGTGGTTCCTATATATGCAGGGAGTTCAAAAAGTTCATGGTAAAATACCATTTTCTTTCTATTCTATTTTTCCACGCATTTTTGAGCCCCCCTTTTATTTGCGTATTTCATCTAAGTCAGATCATACAATATGTGGCTTTTTGTGACTATTTCGCTCAGCAAGATGTTTTCAAGGTTTGCCTGTATTGTGGCATGCTTCAGGACTTGGTTTCTCTTTATGGATGAATAATACTCTATTGTATGCATGAACCACACTTTATCTCTTCATCTGTTGATGGACTTTCTGGTAGTTTCCACATTCTGGTAGTTGTGGAAAGTGCTGCCATGCAGATTGGGGTACAAATTTCCATTTGCACCCCTGCCTTTACTTCTGTGTGTAGACCTAGGGATGGGATGTCTGGGTCATATGATCATCCGTTATTCAGCTCTTTGAGGAGCACAGAACAGTTTTCCACAGTGGCTAACCCCATTTGATATTGTTGCCTCCAAACCTCACCAACACCCATTGGTTCTTATCATTGCCATTGTAAGATAAATAATATTCAAAACAATGTTTTAAAAATTCAAAGTGAATGCAAAGTAAGTCATAAAAAGGAATAAAGTACAGATACAAGTTATAGATGACATGTACTAATACAAGTTAATGATACAATACTGAGAATTCTTGGAAATGTTTTGCTTAAATGAAAGAAGACAAAGGTTACATATTGTATGAGTCTATTTATATGAAATGCCCAGAATAGGCAAATCCACAGAGACGGAAAGTAGATTACTGGTTGCCTACAGATTGGCAGAAGGAGCTCTGGTAGCGTAGTGGTTACAAATCGGGCTGCGAACCTCAAGGTCGGCAGTTCGAAACTATTCCGTGGGAGAGACACTTGTTTTTGTTAAGCCATTCCATGGGAGAAAGATGAGGCTTTCTGCTCCCGTAATGATTGACAGCCTCGGAAACCCTGCACAGGGTCACTATGAGTTGGAATCGACTCCATGGCACATAACAATAAAACAAAAGATTGGCAGGAGGAGGGAAAGGATGACTTCTTACTGGAACGGTGCCTACTTTGGGGGCAGTAAGAATATTCTAGAACTAGATAATAGTAATGGCTTCACACTATTATGAATATACTAAGTGTCTCTGAGGAGTCCTGGTGTGGCGCTGTGGGTTAATGCGACAGACTGCAAAGCTGTTTGAACTGCAAGGTTGGTAGTTCAAGCTCACCAGCTGTTCCATGGAAACCCTATACAGGATCACTATGGGTACGAACCGACTCGACTCCACAGCACTTAACAAAAACAACAAGTGCCTCTGAATTGTATACTTTAAAATGTTTTATATTATTGTGGGTGAATTTCACTGAGTTTAAAAAAGAAATGCAAAAAAAAAGTCTATGACAAACAAAATGCCCACATTCTATATGAAGATGGAATCTGTCTCCACATTTTCCCAACTCATCTTACCCGTCTCCCCATCTTCCTAACCCTGTGGGTTCTGTCCTTATCTTCAATCTTGACATTTTGTTCATGAAGGATTTTGGGAGGAGTCCTCGCTTTTGATTGCTTAAAATATTACATTCAAATACCATTTGTCCTGAGGGCATCACTTTAAATGCTGTGCCAAATATGAATCCTTCCCTCTCCTTACACTAGCCCAACTCAAGGGAGCACATCTTGGCAAAACCAAAAATCCAAACCCTGCCATTGGATGGAGTCACTGACATTGAGTCTATTCCTATTCACAGTGACCGTACAGGACAAAACAGAACTCCTCCATAGGTTTTCTGGGACTGCAAACCTTTCCGGGAACAGATGGCTCCTCCCACAGAGTGGCTGGTGGGTTTGAACCACTGACCTTTCTGTTAGCAGTCCAGCGCTTAACCCATGGCACCACCAGGGATCCTTACATCTTAGCAAGCCCAGCTTTAGTCCACGGTTTATGGAAATTTTTAGAAACTAGTAGGGTTAATGATTGCATGGCATGAAAAATGTAATCCATACATGGAAAAATTGTTGAATTGGTAAATGTTTCATTATGTATGCTTGAGCACAATTATGAAAAATCAAAAGAAAAAAGAAACCATGGTTTGAATCCTGGCTCTGTGATCTTAAGAACTGATTTTTCCACTCCAAACTCCAATTTCTTCCTCTGAATGGAAGAAGATAAGAATGTTTACCACAGAGGGACATTTTTGACAACTGGTAAGAATGCCATTAAAGCATGGATAGTATTCACCAACATGGGAGTATCACTATGCCTGTAGTAATTGTAAACACAGACTTTGGATTCAAAGAGACATGAGTTAATCCCCATCTCCCATGTCCGTCACTTCTTCACTGCGTTGCATTGGCTACAGTTCATTGTCTCTATTACTACATCACTTGGTCTGTTTCCTCGTCTGCAAAACTGCACAAATAATAGCTTCTATTTAAAGGGTTATTATCTGCATTCAATGTGCTCATTAAAGTACAATTATTTTTAAAATTGCCCTTTAGTCAATTCCAATTCATGGTGATCCCACATGTTACAAAGTAGAACTGTGACCCACACGGTCTTTATGAAAATAGATCTCCAGGTCAGTACTGCTGAGTGGCTTCGAATCACCAACCTTTAGATTAGATGCTGTTGTTGTTATGTGCAGTGGAGTCGGTTCCGACTCATAGTGACCCTGTACAGGGTTTCCGAAGCTGTAAATCTTTACAGGAGCAGAAAGCCTCATCTTTCTCCCGCGGAACAGCTGGAAGTTTCGAACTGTTGACCTTGTGGTTTGCAGCCCAATTCATAACCACTACGCTACCAGAGCTTTATCTTTATAGGCAAGTGCAAACCATTTGTGCCACCCAGAGACCTACACGATCAGAAAAATAATACCACCCGGATAAGTGATGTTGTTACATTACTGGTACTGCAATCGGTGACATGAAATAAAAGGTGTAAGGGTTGTTGAGTGGAAAACTTATTCATTGTATTGACCTTCACTCAATTGACAATAAAAAGTTAACAAATAATAATAAAAATACAATGTTGCATCCAGTATAGGAAGCCAATGATTATAAAATTTTACATGTCACTAAGAAAGATACAGGAGTCCTTGGTGTGATGTTGTGGACTGCAAAGTCGGTTTGAACCACAAGGTTGGCAGTTCAAGTTCACCAGCCCGCTCCTCAACAGCCCTATACAGGGTCTCTATGGGTCAAAACTGACTCTATGGCACTTGACAAAAACAAGAAAAAAGTTCAAATGACCCCTGTAGGCACAATAGCTAAGCACTGGACTGCCAGCCAACAGCAAGCCCAGTCAGCATCTGGTAACGTGCTCCCAGAAAGATTACAGCCTGGGGAACCCTATAGGGCAGCTCTACTCTGTCCTGTGGGATCGCTATGAGTCCGAATCGATTCAGCAGCACCCCGTAACAAAGAACTGCAGAGAAAAGCATCTACCCATAACAGTGAGTAGATGGCTGAGATTTCATTGGTTGCAAGACCATCTCAGTGTCAGAGATGTTACAATGTAAAGAAGAAAACAGGCATTTGAGAACTGGTGGAATGTGGTCATAACAATGCTGTTGTTACCATGGAATCGGTTCTGACTCATCACAACCCTGAATAGGGCTTCCAAGGAACAGCTGGTGGGTTTGAAATGCCAACCTTGTGGTTAGCCATCCAGTGCTGATATACAGTGTCACACCACAACTCCTATCTGCAATAAGTGCTCAAAAACAGGGCTGCCGTTCCCATCATCACCTTCATCATCATCACCATCATCATCATCGCAACCATTTTCACCAGAGACCATAATTACCCAAGTCCGAAACCTTTCCCGTCTGCCCCCAGCCCACCCAATCCAGGGATAGACCCAGCACATAACCTGGAGGCCCCTCCCATGCCCAGCCTGGGTCCCCACCCCAGAGGGCCCCCAAGTTGAATAAAGAGAAGGGCTTCATTCTACTCACCAGACATGAACGGACAGGTCCTGAGGAGGTCCCTGTAGGAGACAGATAGAGACCCAGACTCAAGGCAAAGATACAGCGTGGCAGAGAAATCATTCATTCATTCATCTACTAGCATTTACTGAGTGCCTACCACGTGCCATGGGCTAGATCAACAGCTATTCATTCATTCATCCACCAGCACGTGCCATGGACTCCTAATGTGGTGTTATAGGATAAGCACGGGACTGTGAACCATAAGGTTAGTGGTTCAAACTCACCAACCGCTCCTCAGAAACCCTATACTGGGTCACTTTGAGTTGGAACTTAACAACAACAGCCATGTGCCATGGTCTAGACCAACAACGATTCATTCATTCACTCACTCGTTCATTCATCCACTCCACTAGCATTTAGTGAATCCTACCATGTAGCAGACACTGTGCTATTTACTGGGGGTACAGTCCTAAAATGCAGTGGGAGACACTAGCCTAGTACAAAGTCAAAAAACCCCAAACGTGCTGCCATTGAGTCAGTGTGTGCCAACTCAAGGTAGCCCCATATGTGAAGAGGAGTCCTGGTATGGCATTACAAGGTCGTTGGTTCAAGCTCACCAGCCACTCCTTGGAAATCCTATACAGGGTCTCTATGAGTTGGAACCTACTCAACGGCACCTAACAACAACAACAACAATCTTTTCCAAAGTAGATCATCAGGTCTTTCTTCTGAGGTGCCTCTATTGTGGTTGCTAAGTGTTGTCAAGTCATTTCCAACTCATAGTGGCCCTGCATAGGGTTTCCGAGGAGCAGCTGGTGGGTTTGAACTGCCGACTTTGTGGTTCAAAGTCCAGGGCTGACCCTACAGTCCCACACCAGGAATTCACAGCTAAGTACCTCTAGTTGGGTTCAAACTGTTAACCTTTCCATTAATAGCCAAGTGCCTAACTGTTTGCACCACCCAGAGACTCCATTCAACCTGGGGAAGCTGCTCAGTCAATATTTGCTGACTGGATGTGTGAGGTATGATCTGGAACCTGTCACCAGGAGATTAAGGGAAGCTTCCAAGGGGAAGGAAGGCATCTGGAACTGAACTAGCTATTGAATGATGAAGGAGAGAGGACCCATCCAGTGCTAAGGCCATGGGAGAAAGAACATGGAACTGAGACATGCTGGAAGGTGGACAGAAAGACAAGCAGAGTGAGGGGTCAAGTGAAAAGGTTCACAGAGAAGGGAGAGGGTGCCAGGAGCAAGCACTGAGGAAATGACTAATCATGGACCCCAGGGTGGCTCCAGTGTAGGCTGCTGGCAGGGAAGTGGGGATGACCAGCCAAGATGGTAAGCCCCTCCCCACATCCAGGGCTGTCTTCCAAGGCAGCCTGCACCCCAGAACCCTGTCTGAGCCCCTGCCCTCGCTCCCTCCAAACCTGAGACACTCACATGGACGTAGGGCTTGACCCTGTTACAGGGAAACCAGCCAACTTCATTGGTGGAAGTATTCCTGCCCTAAAAACCCAGGAGAGAAAACAGGGACTGAGAGGTTACAGGCATCCACATGTGCAGATGACCATGTGCGTATGCATGCAAGTACACGTGTTTGCATGTGTGTGTTTGTGTGTGCTGCATTGTGTGTGTACCTCTATGGGTGTGCATGCATATGTTTGTGTCTTTATTGTGCAGGTGCATGTGTATGTACTTGTGTGCTGTGTGTTCTTTATGTGAACATGTTTTTGCATGTGTGTGTGTGCATATGTGTGTGCGTGTGTGCACACATGTGTGTGCAACTGTGGTGGTGGTATGTGCACATGCATGTGTGTTTATACGTGTGTGTGCATAGGTTGGTATTTATTTATGTGTGTATGCATTCATCCATGTGTGCACATATACATGTGTGTGCGTGTATGCACATGCTACATGTGTGCCCATATGTATGTTTGTGTGTTTATACGTGTTTCTTGTGTGTGAGTGTGCATTTGGGGGGTATACACACCTGTGTGTATGTGTGTATATGCTATGTGCTTGTATGCATGTATGTATACATGTTTCTGTGATATGTGTGTGCATCTGTGAGTGTGCATGTCTGTGTCCATCCATCCGTCTACAGTCTGAACAACCCAGAGAGGTGCCAACCAATTTCCCTTTCGGAGAAGCCAGCCAGTTCAGAAGGCCCAGGCTAGACTCAGAAATCCTACGTTACCTCTCCCCAACTTCCATTTCCACAGAACCCGCCTTTGGGGTCATGACCCTACTTCCCAAGGCCACCTGTCCCCAATGCCTCACACCTGGGCCCCACCCCATCACTCAATCCATCCCAAGGCTCCGCACCTGAGTCCTGCCCCATCACCCCAACACTCTACCCATCCCAGAGTCCCATGCCTGCCCCATACTTGGATCCCACCCCAACACTACCCATCCCAGGGCCCCACACCTGAACCTTGTCCCATCAACCCCTGGCCTCACACCTGGTCCCACCCCATCACCCCCATACCCCCACATCTGAATCTCCTCTATCCACCCCAGAGCCCCACAACTGAATCCTGCCCCATCACCCTACATTCCCACACTTGGGTCCCACCCATCATTCCATGACCCCACACCTGGGTCCCACCCATCACACCATGGTCCCTGCCTGTACCTCCCACCAGTTCTGTTCTGCCTCAGCCTTGGTGAGCTCCACGATGTCTCCAGAGTTGAGCCGTAGAAAATGTCCAAAGGCTCCGGGCGGTGGAGGAAGTCCATAGTACTCCTGACAAACCTCCATCTTGGGCAGGCCTGGGGCATGAAAGATGGTGGCAGAGTGTGGTAGTTAAGGACTCCAAAACCTGAATCTCACCCCCACCAACACCCTCTTCCCCGAGTGGCTAAAATGTGAGTCTGACAATATCAAGTGTTGGTGGGGATGTGGAGCAACTGGAAGTCTCCTACATGCTGGTGGGGATCTGTTCTGGAGAACTGTTGGTACTGTCTACTAAAGCTGAGCATACGTCTATGCCATGGTCCAGAGACCCCATTCCAGTGCATACCCATTAGCAATTAAAGCATAATCCCTATACCTGATGTTCACAATCCCATTTGGAAATGGATTTCTTTGTCACGTTAAAGAGGCCATATCGGTGTAGGATGTGCTTTCAGCCAATCATCTTTGAGATATAAACAACAGCAGATGAGGACAATGGAGCCAGCAGAGCGGGGGAAAGACAGATGCCAGACCACATGAAGGTCTCCAAGAAGCCAAGAATTAAGACCTTTCTTCAGAGCTGACAAAGAGAGAAGGCCTTGCCTACAACAAGGCCCTGAATGCAGATTTCTTGTATGTATATATATTTGTAGAAGCCAGATGGCGAGACTTCACCTCTCAGATTTTGGACATTTCAGGAGGGACCAGCCCTGGAGAAGGTCATCATGCTTGGTAAAGTGAAGGGTCAGCAGAAGGAGGGAAGCCCCCCAAGAAGAAGCAATGACACAGGGACAGCAACAATGGGCACAAATATAACAACAACTGTGAGTGTGGTGCTAGACCGGCGGTGTTTCGATCAGTCCGTTGTGCATAGGGTCACTATGAGTTGGAACTGACTCAACAGCACCTAATAACAACATATATATGTTTACACGTGTGTACTTGTGCACATATATTCATGTACATATATAACATAAATATGTTGTTTCTGTTGCTCGGTGCCATCAAGTCATTTCCAACTCTGAGTAACCTTATGCACAGCAGAATGAAATATCACGCAGTCCTGCACCAACCTCACAATCGTTATTAAGCTTAAATCCGTTTCTGCTGCCACTGTGCCAATCCATCTCATTGGATATATACATCATCTAAGGTAATGCAGTAAGGAGCTCTGGTAGCATAGTGGTTACGAATCACTGCAAACTGCAAGATTCGGAACCGACTCCACGGCACACAGCCACCAGGGTAATGTTGTGGTGTGGCATTGTTGGATAAGCAGTGGACTGCTAACTGAAAGGCTAATAGTTCAAACACACCAGCTGCTCCAATGGAGAAAGATGCAGCTGTCTGCCCACATAAAAATGTCTCAGAAACCCGCTAGAGGGTCACTATGAGCAGGAATCCATTCAGTGGCTGTGGGTGGGTGGCAGTGGATGGGATGTGAGTGCTAATCCTTAGCAACCAGGATGGTGAGATTGCATCTCACGTACTTGGAACATGTTAACAGGACCAGTTTCTGGAGAAGGACACAGAGAAAAAGAGGAAGACCCCAAAGAGATGCATTGAAACGCTTGCTGCAACAATGGGCTCAGGTATACAAATAACGGTGAGGGTGGTGCAGAACCGGGCAATGCTCCTGTTGTACATGGAACCTACTCAATGGCACCTAACAACACCACAACATGATTATGGAGATCCCCTGGGTCTAGTTCCTGAATGGTGAAAATGGTTAATACTCAGCTGCTAACCAAAAGGTACCAACAGAACAGGTTAGAATCCACCCAGAGGCACCCCAGAAAACACCTACTTCCAAAAATGCCACCACTGAAAACCCTATGTTGTTGTTGTTGTTGTTAAGTGCCGTCGAGTCGATTGCGACCCATAGCGACCCTGTACAGGGTTTCCGAGGCTGTAAATCTTTACGGGAGGAGAACGCCTCATCTTTCTCCCGCGGAACAGCTGGTAGTTTCGAACTGCTGGAGTGTGGCTAATTGCCTTCTGGTACAATTGCCTCCTTTGCCATGAGACCAAGCAGGGGAAATGCGGAACAGAATGTGAAATTCTTATGGAATCCAGGTTTCTGTGGAGACCTGGAGGCTGAATGAACCCCTGAAAAGATTTCCTTGACATAATCTTTAAACCAAAACCCAACAATATCCCTGAAATCTTCTGTAACCAAACAATAGTTTCACTTAATATAAAGCACGTCTACCTTCATAATTGTTCTCATTCAAGAATTATCTACATAAGATCAAATTGACAACAGAAACTCAGAAGCTTAGATGGGCACCTTGTTGTTGTTGTTATGTGCATGAAGTCAGTTCTGACTCACAGCGACCCTGTATAAGGTTTCCTAGGCTGTAAATCTTTACAGGAGCAGAAAGCCTCATCTTTCTCCTGTGGAACAGCTGGTAGTTTCGAACTTCTGACCTTGTGGTTCACAGCCCGATTCGTAACCACTACGCTAACAGAGCTCCGTAAATGGGAACCTTAGGGGACTATGAATTCACATTCATGGGGGAGGAAGAATTCAGAAAGGACGTTGAGAGTGGTTACACCACTGAAAAAAAGTCATCAGTGTCACTGAGCTGTACATGGGGAAATGGTTGACTTGCTGTCTGTTCTGCACTGTATATTCTCAGTGACAAAAATAAAGTCAATCCTAGGAAATCAAAAAAGCACCATTTGCTCTGGGACAAACCTCAAAAGGCGGGAAGGGCCAAGATTCTGAGGGGATTACAATCAACATCATGAAACAAAATGCATATGGTTTGATTTAATGCACTTGACCTACACCTATGGATGCAGCAACTCAAAAGAGGGAACAAATCTTTACAGCAAGGATCATTCCCACGCCCTCCATACACAGAGTGGACAAGGATGGGCAACTTGGACATTGGCTATCCAAAATGGGGGTGGGAGGGCTACAAAGGCAAGAAGTGACTGGTTTACAAGCTTTCAAGAGGGAACCTAGAGCCAGAGGCCGTGGAAGAAGGTGGAATCTCCACTGAGTACTATCCAGTCTGTCTAGGCGGGGCTGATGAAAGGAAATGCAGATAGGTCTCTTGTGCTACAATAGTGAATAATTGTTACCAGGACTGATTGTGAAGGTTGTAAATGTAAAAGTAGACATTTTGTGGCAAGGAGGGGAGTAATTAACTTTGCAGGCTAAGAGCAGAGGTCCCGGAAACCATGAATGGAGAAGAGCAGAGAGCAGGACCCTACCCAGAGAAGAAGTGACCCCCGAGATGGAGGCAGAGATGATGACATGGAGAGATGGAGCAGCTGGGAACTCGGGACCCAGGGAGGGAGAGGGCCTGTGTGCTGACGACCGGCGGGGGGGAGGTGAGGGGAGCAGGCTTGTAGAATGTACCCTTTCGTTGATTGGTGATTCGTGGAGGGGATTGTAACGATGGCAATGAAACAATATACGATAGGATGAATATAAAACTAATGTTCTCCTATATACCCATGTACACTATCACATAATTCACAATAAAACTATTTTTTTTAAATGCATATGGCTTGTTGAATGGAAAACCAATTGCTCTGTAAACCCTCACTCAAGTCACAATCAGAAGTAAAATAAGAATTGTAAGAAACTCTATGGAGTTCTATTCTGAAATACATGAGGTGAACATGAGTCAGAATCGACAGTAACAGCTTTGGTTGCTGGCTGGGCATTCTTGGGGCAGACACCAGTTCCTTCCTGCCCCACACAGCGTTCCCTACTGACTCACCCAGATCATTTCTCTTTTTGTCCTGGGCCCTTCGGTGAAGCTTATCCTACAGAAAGAGAGACACTAAGAAAGCAGGCATGAGGATTCATGCCCAGCTCCTATCTGCACACCCAACAAGGGGCCATGCCCAATGCTGGGATCTCCTGGGCCCTCCCCTCATTGCCTCCCACGGTTTTACATAAACAAAACGAAGCATGAATAGAAAGAAGACCTTACCTTCTTTGTGGTCCCTGAAAAATCTACGGGAAGAAAAAGCTCACTTAAATGGGAAGCCCACAGAGTGACAAGCCCACTTCCCACCTTCTCCCCCAGAGGGAACCCCATAGGGAACCAGCCCATTTCCCACCTTCTGTCCTCATGGGAACCTCATGGAGAACAAGCCCACCTCCTACCTTCTATCCTTATGGGAAACCCATGGAGAACAAGCCGACCCCCCACCTTCTCTTCCAATGAGAACCCCATGGAGAGCCAGAATTTTTTCCCAATAGTACCTTGCCCATGTCGACCACACGGATGGACCCTCCCCAAACACTCCTTGTGTGCAGGTGCCCGGCACCGATGGCAACGATACCCCTGGTAGAAGGTTCCTCTGCAATGTGGGGGAAAAGGAAGTAAGGGAGTCAGTGGTTCTAACTAACATGACCAACCACCCCCAGTATGAGGGGTCCTTTGGGCTCTCTCTAGAACAGAAGAGAGATATAGAAACTGAGGATCAAAATAGGTCTCACACCTCCCCACTCAGGAGACTTCCTGATGGGGGAGGCACTGCAGAGGGGAAGGACTGACCAAGCCCAAGACCCAGGCCCATCCCCACCCTCCTACCTCAGCAACATCTGACAGGCCGAGCAGGAAGTGGTCTCCTCAAAGGAGAACATCTGGAAGTCATGCCCGTTGGCGGTGGCGTTCTCAGGGTAGATGTTGGAGCTGGAGGGGGAACATAAATGGAGAGAGGACCAGGACTTGATGACTATTTGCTGTTACAGATGCCCCTGAACCAATTCCACAGCGTAAAACTGGCCCATGGGGTCTTCTGGCTGTAATCTTTATAGAAGCCGATCATCAGAGCTCTCTCCCAAAGAACGTCCTTTTTATTTGTAGTCAAGTGCTTAGCCATTTAGCCACCAAGCCCAAAATCCACTGTCGATTCCAAACTCATAGCAACCCTACAAGACAAGGTCAAACTTCTTTCTCCCTAGGGTTTCTGAGACTGTAAATCCTTACAGGAGCAAACTACCTCATCTTCATCCTGTGGGGAGGCTGGTACGTTCAAACTGCTGACCTTGTGGTTAGCTGTTCAACACTTACCCCCATGACTCTTTATTTATGGCTGAGTAACAGCCTTCTGTGTGCACAAACCCATCTTGTTGATCCACTCTTCCAGCGATAGACATGTGGGTTTTTTCTATTTGGGGCTACGTGAATGGCGCTGCTACAAACATTTGTAGACATAGAAAGCAGACTAGTGGGTTGACAGGGATGGGGAGGAAGGAGCCTGCAAGTGGTCTGTGATCTGCTGATAGTCTAAAGGTTTATGGTTCGAACCCACCCAAGAACTTGGGGAAAGAACGGTCTGGCAAACTGCTTCTGTAAAGATTAACCCAGTACTGAGTCAATTCCAACTCATAGCTACTCTGTATAGGGTTTCCGAGACTGTAAATCCTTATGGGAGTTGTTGTTGTTGTTGTGAAGTGCTGTTGAGTCGAATCCGACCCATAGCGACCCTGTATAGGGTTTACGAGGAGTAGCTGGTGACCTTGAACCTCCAGCCTTGCAGTTCAAATGGCTTTGCAGTCTAGTACATTAACCTACAGTGACACACCAGAACTCTATAGCAGTTGTTGTTGTTGTTGTTGTTGTTGTTGTGTGCCATGGAGTCGGTTCCGACCCATAGCGACCCTGTACAGGGCTTCTAAGGCTATAAATATTTACGGGAGCAGAAAGCCTCATCCTTCTCCCTCAGAGCAGCTGGTAGTTTTCAACTGCTGACGTTAAGGTTTGCAGCCCAATTCGTAACCACTACGCTACCAGAGCTCCTCTATGGGAATAGACAGCCTCATGTTTCTCCTGCAGAGCCTCAGGTAGGTTTGAACTACCCACCACACTTACTTAGCAGCCCAGTGTTTTAGGGCCAGGGAGCACAAATACTCTGGGGTTATCATGAGTCAGGAGTAGCGTAGTGGTTACGAATCAGGTTGCTAATCTCAAGGTCGGCAGTTCGAAACTACCAGCAGTTCTGTGGGAGAAAGATGAGGCTTTCTGCTCCCATAAAGACTTACAGCCTCAGAAACCCTGTACAAACAGGGTCACTATGAGTCGGAACCAACTCCATGCACATAACCAGCACCAACAACAAAAAGGGAAGAGAGGGGATGGGGAATGATCAATAATGGGTACCGAGTCTCCCTGGGGAGCAATGAGAATGCTTTGGGACTAGGTAGGGGCAAATTCAGTGGTTTTTAGCAACACAGCAAATGTGCTTAAAAAGTCACTGAATTCTATGCTGCAAACTGGTTCCTTTATCATTAGCTGAAGCCCTCCTCAAGGAAGAGAAAAAAGAATAGTTACAGTTTACAGAGAATCTGGAGGCTTGAGCCTGCCCAGATGAGGAAACTGAGGCTCAGAGTGGAAGAGGCTAATCCAAGGTCTGGGCAGAGTGGGGACGCGGGCACAGAACGTCTTTCTAGCCCTTGCATCCAGGTGTTGGCGTCCTCTGGGAAGGACTCACATGGCCATCTCGAACTGTTCCATCCACTTCTTCTTCAGCTCCCGCGTCTTAAAGAACAGCTCGTAGCCCTGGTTGCCTTGGTCCTCAATCAGGACAAACATGTGGGTCCACTGTAGGGAAGCAGAGATCAGACTCAAGGAACACCCCCCGCAGAAACTGAGATCGTACACCCACTAACCCTACCTCTAGAGAAGAAAAAGAGCCAGGCAGGCCTATGCACCCACCCCACAGAGGGTGGGACCACACCCCCCAAACACTCCCCTGTAAAAACAACAAAAAAATTGCCGTTGAGTTAATTCTGACCCACAGCACCCCCACATGTGCAGAGTGGAACTGCACCATAAGGTTTTCATGGTTGTGACCTTTCCAAAGCAAATGGCCAGGGCTTTCTTCCAAAGCACTTCTGGGTGAGTTGGAACCATCAACCTGGGAAGTAATGAAGTGCTTAACTGCTCAACCCAGGAACTCTCCTACACCTATAAGGCCCATTGCCATCAAGTCGATTCTGATTCTTGGTGCCCCCAAGTGTTACAGGGTAGAACTGCTCCACGGGATTTTCTTGGCTGGAATCTTTTTAAAAGCAGATTGTCAGATCATCCTTCCACAGCACCACTGGGTGGGTTCAAACCACCAACCTCCAAGTTGTTGTTAAGTGCTGTCGAGTCTGTTCTAGCTCACAGCGACCCTGTATAGGATTTCCAAGGAGCAACTGGTGGATTTGAACCGCCAACCTTGTGGTTCACAGTCCAGTGCTGATCCTACACCAGGAGTTGAATGTAAACCATTTGCATTACCCAGAGACCTTCCTCTACTCCGGCTATTATTGTTAAGTGCCATCGAGTCAGTTCCAACTTACAGCGACCCTGTATAGTAGGATTTTCAAGGAGCAGCTGGTGGGTTGGAATTGCCAACCTTGTAGTTAGCAGTCCAATGCTTACCCTACAGCGCCACACCAGGACTCCAGAAAAACAAAGTCAGACCAGTAGCAGACACCTCCTAGAGGGTGGGACCCCCAGGTCCCTGCTCCAGGGAGCCATGCATGAAGTCCCAAATCTCACACACAAGCACATACACATACACACACTAGACACATCATGTCTTCCACTCATTTGCTTATCCAACAAGCTCTTGTTGGGATCCTGCTGGGTAACAGGCTCTGAGCAAGACGCTGAGGACAGAGCAGTAGGCAGCAAGCTGTCCTCAAGGCCAGACCCATAAACAGGTCATTACAAGAGAACCATTAGCATGATGAGGGAGGGGCAGGGGTTGAGAAACAAGAACAGTAGCCAGGAATGGAGCGCTGCCAGGAGGCCCCCACAGAAAGAGGAAGAGACAGCCAGCAGCAGGAGAGGAAGTGAGGAAACGCCAAGAGGTAAGAGGGCTGATCCGTCCACAGAGAACTCCCTGACACCTGTGGAGCTAAAACCGCCCCCCTTATACCCTCACCCTCTCAGAGCTACATCACCCTGTCTACTTCCTTAGTAGAATGCGTCACCATCATTTTCTATGCTCCCTAGGAGACGGGAGGGACCAGGTCTGGTTTGTTTTCAGTTTCATTTCTAGTACCTAGAAGAGTGCTGAAAAACTGGATTATATGAAGAAGAATGTGGCATTGGGATTGGAGGAAGATTCATTAACAACTGTGATATGCAGATGCCACAACCTTGCTTACTCAAAGTTCAGAGAACTTGAAGCATTTACTACTGAAACCAAAGACTACAGCCTTCAGTAGTCTTGGCTCTTTCCACAAAAAGAAAACAAAAATCCTCACAACTGGACTAATAACATCATGATAAACAGAGAAAAGATTGAAGTTGTCAAGGATTTCCTTCTTGCTTAGAACCACCATCAATGCCCCACAGAAGATGGATTCAAAAGAAACCAAATGAGAGACTTCTGGCAAGATGGCAGAGTAGGCAGAGGCACTACATGGACCTCTACAACAAAGATACGAGAGACTAGATGAACAAAACAGTCACAGATGAAATTTCTGGCACCCTGAACTTCAGAATAAAGGTTAGCCAGGTGGATGGAGTGTTTGTTGGGAGGAGAAGCTGAGCAGAGATGGTGAGAGAGGAAACTGACTGATGAATGGCTTGCCAGACGAGGCTCAACCTTGTGAGCAGCTTCAGGCGTGAAGGGAGGCCTGGCAGAGCAGACTCATGTAGGCAACAGGAAAGGTGTGATTTCTTCTTTACATCCACACTCCTCTTACTGACCATAGGTGTGACTAGCTCCCACCCTCATCCATCCCCAGCGCAGACCCTGATTTCTAGGAGTTAGGAGCCATGTGGTTGGGAGGTAGGCCAGTGTGAGGTGGGGGCTGGCTGTGCCACTTTGGTGCCTGGATTTAGGGGTGCTCAGCTCCGGACCTACAAAACCCCAGAGCCACCAGACCAGCATTTAACCAGTCACCCTGCCCCCAGCTTCCCTGTGGTCCTAACAGACACTCACACCAACTCCATCAAGGCCTCCCTCGAACTACTTTTGGATTGAGCACCCTGAACATAGATATCACTGAGGGCAATTGGAACTCCCTCTAGGGTCAGGAACTCTGCTGTTACATCCCTTCCACAACCACCTCATGAGCTCCTTGAATTGCAAGAGACCCCCAGAGACTTCTCCCCTTAGGGTCCAACAACTGCACTGTTTGTTTTTACAAATACGGCAACCCCACAATGCCCTGGAGACAACAGACAATTTTTTAGTTCACACTGAAAAAACAAGAGAGAATAGCTCAAACAAATGACTAAGATGCAAAGCCAGAAGACATTTCTGAAGAAGAAAAGATAATGGAACTAAGTGAAAATGAATTTGAAAAATGTTCATTTGGTACCTTCAAAGGATTGATAGAAAGATTGAGAAAAGTAAGGAGAACACAATAAAAACCTTAGAAGAATTCAGGAAAACACTACAATGATAAACAGACTAAATACAAAATTTGAAACAATACTAAGCCAGCAATTAGATATCCAGAAGATTCATACTAAGGTCTCAGAAATGGAAAACACGTTGAAATGGCAAAGGAGTAGATATGAAGCAAGGGAAGCTTGAATTACTGAGCTTGAAGATAAATCTCTCAATACTAGTATGCTAGAAGAACAACCAGAAAAAAAGAATGAAAAA